AGGAAATTAGTTGCTTTGATGTTATTTATGTGATTGCTTAAGTAGAAGTCATGCTTTAGCCTTATATGCAAGAAATCATTTGCTATGATTTCAGGATGTCGTGGAATGGAAGCTGAGAGTAGTTCTAGTTCACCCCACAGCATTCTTTTGGGGGCAGCATCAGGTGTAGTCACCAATTCAATCCTATAGAAGTAGTAAGTGTTAGTAACAAATGAGAATCTAGAAATCAGAGGATATAAAACATTGATTGCTCTATATATCAGTAAGTTGAAATATTCTGAGACTAATTTGGTTAAAGGGACAGCAAGTACTAGAAAGGTGAAGCTAGAGGAGTGTTGCGGGCCAGATCCTGCTCACTTGCATTGTAAAAAGCTCACTCTCACTGCAGGTGGGAGCTTGGATGGGAGGGAAGCCAGAGGGGTTCCCTGTCCAGGGGAGCCACAAGTTCTGGACCAAGGGGATGATAAGAAAATGGCTTTGAGGGAGTCAAGGAGGTCAGTGTGACCATGCTGGCCTGCAGGTTCTGATGACACCCCCAGGAGACAGTCAGGAACCATTGCTATCTCAAAAGAGAGGTAGAGATTGGGTGACTTTGGCAGCACCTGGTAACTGGAGCCGTGGGAGTGGACAAGATAGCTCCAGGAGAACATGCAGAGGAAAGAGAGGTTCACCCTCCCAAAGATATCCTGACAGCTAGTCACTAGTTATCTAGTGCTGCTATACCAGATGAAAATCTACTTTGTGGTAGAGGAGATTCTGAGATCTAGAATAATCTGAGTCCTGGGTTAGGTCGAGGTGTGACGCACAAACAGTTTTACTTCCCTCTTTTGCAGATTTGAAATGGAATTTCCATTCCTAGGAGTGTTACAATGCTCAGTCATGAGGGTGGTTGTGTGGCAGAGGACACTTCAGAGTTGGTCCCAGGGTTAGGGGAATCCTGAGAAAGGAATGAAGACCGGGAACCTGGGTGTGGATTTTCCTGCACGCAGAATGTCCCTCAGCCCTGGTAGTGCTGTGCCCCTTACCCCCTAACCCCACCTCATCTGGTCTCCTACAGAAGTCAAAGCAACTGTTACCCCATTTTACAGATTCAGAAACTGAGGCTTAGGGAAGAGCCCTAAGGAACTCCAGCTAGTCACTTAGTTATCTAGTGCTGCTATAGCGGAAATATCACAAATGGGTGGCTTTCACAAACAGAAATTTATTTAGGAGGCTCCAAGTCTGAATTCAGGGCCCTGGCTCTAGGGAAAGGCTTTCTATTCTGTTGGCTCTAGAAACAGGTCCTTGTCTCTTCTGAGCTTCTGCTCCTGAGCCATCTTCATGTGGCTTCACATCTCTCTTCCCCCATCTCTGCTATTTGATTGCTTGTTTAATCTCTTTATATCTCAAAAGAGATTGACTCAAGATGGACCTAAAATAATCCTGCCTCATTAACATAACAAAGACAACCTATTCCCAAATGGGATTATGACCACAGGCATAGAGGTTAGGGTTTACAGCACATATTTTGGGGGGATACAGTTCAGTCTATGACTGTGACTGAGGCACCATGAATCCAAGTCTCTTTCTCCTTATCAGCTGCCTCCTCACTTCCTAGGATGATGGAGGCAGATGTGGCAGCCAACCTGATAGTGGAGGTGCTAATCTGAGGGGTATGCAGGGTGAGATCTAGCTCTCTTGCTTTGGACTCCTGCCTTCTACCCCTTCTGAAAGTCTGTGAATGTGGGAGTATGTCTGCAGGCGCACGAAGCTTCCCAGACCTTTGGAGTGGAATGGAGTGAAGCCAAGAACATCCTCTTACATGCACTCAAAGCCTCCCCCACCCCACTAGAGTTTTCCTCAGCCTACCACGTCCCCTGAGCACTGGCTTGACCTCTGAGAGCCCTGAACAGCTGTACCGTATTCCACATTCCTCCCCAGAGAGCCACTGGGAAGAGGCTGCACTAGACAAGATTCCCAGTAATTCAGAGGCTCTGGCTCAGTCAATATTCCCGGCAAGCCCTTAATGCATCTTCCCACTGGAGACTGTAATCCCAGTGCTGAGGTTAGCATTTGGTGGAGGGCAGGGAGGGGGATATTGTAGGCAGAGGCTCTGAGTGAGGCCAAGAGCAGAGAAGTAGCCCAATTTGCCTTTCTGGTGCAGCCGCTGGGGCACTTAGAGCATGGTATCTTAGGGGCTTCTCTTACAGGCCTCAGCACAGTGCTGCCTCCAGGAAGAGTGCGTTGATCCTCCCTGCACCATGTGAAGTACTCCCTGCCTCTTTTTACTCCCTGCATCCTACGCTGCACTTAGAGTACCGGCTCATGATCCACTGCAGCCCAGTGGTTGCAGGGGTCAGCAAACTCTGTGAAGGATCAGAGAGGAAATATTTTAGACTTTGTAATCTACACAGTCTCTGTTGTAACTTCTCAACGCTGTCTGCTGTTGTAGCGTGAAAACAGCCATTGACAATATGTAAATGAATGAGCATGGCTGTATTCCAATAAAACTTTATTTAGACACTGAAATTTGAATTTCATATAATTTTCATATGTCACAAAATAGTCTTCTTCCTTTGATTTTTTTTTGTAACCACTTAAAAATGTAAAAATTATTCTTAGCTTGCAAGATATACAAAAATTTACCAACCTCTAGTTTAGCATAAGGTCCCTGGAGTCACGCTTCTGAATATGAAATCTGACTCTGCTGTGTGACTTTCGGCAAGTGAATCCATCTTCCTATGCTTCTGACTTCTCATCTGGGATAATGTGCACAGTTTGGGAAAGTAAAACTATGCAGCTACCTTGGAAAAGAATTTGGCAGTCCCTCAAAAGGTTAAACGTGGAGTTACCACATGACTCAGCAATTTTGCTCCTAGGTATATACCCAAGAGAAGTAAAAATACACATCCACTCAAAAACTTGTACACAGATATCCAAAGCAGCATTACTCAGAATAGCCAAAAAAGTAGAAATAACCCAAATGTCTATCAATGAACGGAGAAATGAAATGTGGTATAATCCATACAAAGGAATATTATTCAGCCTTAAAAATGAATGAACTACTAGTACATGATTCAACATAGATGAACCTTGAAAACATTATGCTAAGTGAAAAAAGGAGCTCTGGTAGCATAGTGCCTAAGGCATTTGACTGCTAACCAGGAGGCTCAAACCCACCAGCCACTCCTTGGAAGAAAGGTTGGGTGATCTACTTCTGTAGTGATACCCCCTCGGAAACCCAAGGAGGAGTCGCTATGAGTTGGGTCCAACTCGATGGCACATAACAACAACAAATGAAAAAAGCTAGACACAAAAGACCACATATTGTATGCTCCCATTTATATGAAATGCCTAAAATGTGAAAATCCATTACAGACAGGAAGCAGATTAGTGGTTGCTAGGGGGCAATGGGAAATGACTGCTAAGGGGTATGGAGTTTCTTGTTGGGATGGTGAAAAAGCTTTGAGATTGGATAGTTGTGATAGCTGCATAATTATGTAGTCAGTGCTGACCCTATAGTAACCCTATGTGACAGAGTAGAGCTGCCCCATAGGATTTTTTAGGCTGTAATCTTTATGGGAGCTCTGGTGGTGCTGTGGTTAAGGCATTGGGCTGTTAACCAAAAGGTTGGTGGTTTGAACCTACCAGCTGCTTCACAAGAGAAAGACAAGGCAATCTGCTTCCATAAAGATTTTCTTCCTCGGAAACCCTATGTGGATCGCTATGAGTCAGAATCGACTCAACGGCAGTGGGTTTGGGTTTGCGGAATCTTTATGGGAGCAGATCATCAGGTCTTTCTTCTGCAGAGCAGCTGGATGGGTTCAAACTGCCAACCTTGGAGTTAGCAGCCAAATGCTTAACTGTTGCACCACTAAGGCTCCTATTATCAAATGCTGGTATTAAGGATCAAATGATGTATGACACTCAGGGTATGAAAGGTGCCTCAAGCCAATGGCCACCTGGTCATACGTGGCCAGCCCCAGGAGTCTGATCTCCCAGGAAGTGTCTCCAGAGTATCAAGAGGGGATAGGCTTCCCTGTTCCTGGAGACAGCAACTCAACCCTCCAGACACCTCCCATTGTTCCATCAGCTGTCCACAGGGGTCATCAGGCTGGGGGCTCTGTGTGCCTGAATGCATGGACAGTTTAGTGCACAGAGCAGATTCCAGAGCGGCCACACCCAGCTGTGACCATGGACCAGGATAAGCTTCTTTCTCTTTCTAAGCCTCAGTTTTTACAACTGTCCAATGGGTTTAACACACTGCCTGCCACTTCGGGCATTTGTGATGATGAGATCAAACAGTGAATATAAAGTATTTACACAGTGCCTAGCATATTTTAAATGTTCCATGCATGTCAGCTCTTATGATAATTTACTAAAAATATTTATTTTGTAAGTCTGTTGTGTGCTAGACACTGCTTTAGCTACTGGAGATATAGCAGAGAATGAAACAGACAAAAATCCCTGCCTTCATGAAACAGTAGAGTAGGTAGCAAGAAACAAAATAGATAAGTATATGATATTTTAGAACATGATTGAGAAAATAAAACTAAGAATGGCTTAGGGAATGTAGGAAATGATTGTGGTTTTCATAGAAGGTGATCTGGGAAAGTCTATCTGAGGAAAGGACATTTGAATGAAGACTGGAGGAGGGGAAGGAGGGAGCCACGTGGGTTTTTAAAGGAAGAGCATTCCAGGCAGAGAAAACAGTGTGATGGGCAAGTGTGAGGAACAGTGAGGAGGTAAGTGTGGCTGGAGGAGAGGGAGCAGGAGAATAAGGGTAGGGGTGGGTGAGACCCTCAAGGCGAAGCCGCTTTGATCCCTAGGGAGACAAGGAGCCAGTGCAGGGCTTGGAGCAGAGGATGACCTATACTGACTTAGGCTACAATGACTTTTGCTGTGCTCAGGGCTGACTATGCTCCCCTCCCTTTCCTCACAGCGCTATGTTTCCTCCCACAGGACAAGCCGGGGCCTCCATGGGCGCATGAGGGCCGGGAGCCGGGGCTGTGGGCACGAGCATGGTGAGACACCAGCCCCTGCAGTACTATGAGCCGCAGCTGTGCCTCTCCTGCCTCACAGGAATCTATGGCTGCCGCTGGAAGCGCTACCAACGCTCCCATGATGACACCACACCGGTGAGCCATGCTAGGGTGGATGGGGACAGAGGGACCAGGGAACCCCCCAGTGTGAGGGTCTGGCATAGATTTGCTATGTGAATCCAAATGGGTCAGTGCCCTTTCTGGGTTTCCACTTCTCCCTCCGTAAAATGGGGCCACAGAAGTTACGGCATCTACCTGACCAGGTGTACAAGAAAGGAGCTCATCATGTCTTGCAGGTAGCATGAAGCATTCAGAGGCTGTTGTTAATTCTCCTAGGACAGGGTGGGGGCTGGGCTGCTCCCAAGGTCTGGGCAGGGAGGGGAGCTTCAGCACAGAGGGATCACCCCAAGGTAAGCAGAAGTTCTCAGCATCCTGGCAGATCCAGATGGGCAGACAAGCAGGCAGATGGCTGGAGAAGAAGGTGAGAGGGGGGCCCGGCCATCCTGGAGCCTTGGAGCTGGCAAGGCCATGGCCTGGCACCAGGGCCCAGTCACCTGAGCTAGGGTCCTGCCAGGGCTGGCAGCAGGTGCTTAGCTGGATAAAACCTCTTTCAATACCCAGCTCCCCAGGCCACACCCCAAATCACACTCTTGTCCCTAGGGCACTATCAGCCAGCAGATCTAATTTCTTCTCTGAAGGGACCCAGTTCCTGTGTGGTGTTTATATAAAAGCTTTGCTGCCTAGAAAACAACTTTCCTCCTTCTTCCTGCATGTCTGAACAAAGAAGCCGGTCTCTGAATTCAGCCAACCCCAAAACAGGCTGGAGTGGCCAAGGGGCTGAAGTCAGGGGCCGAGTGCTGGCCAGACTATCTAGATGGTGAAGTCGGGAAAGTTTGTCTGCCTGCCTGCCTGCCTGTCGTCAGCCTGTCTGCCCTTCTCTGCTTGTGGTGGTACAGGAGAAGCAGGTATCATCAGGACAGGTACCAGGTCCATGCCATCGCACAGAAGAGGCAACATGGCCAAACTGAGGCTAAGCAGAAGAAGGGACCTACCTGAGGCCACAGAGCATGTCTTTTCTAAGCCTGTTCTCTCCATCCTCAGGCCCAGCCTCCTGGGGAACCAGGTTTTACAGCCTGTCCCTCTTACATGGACATAGAATTTCCCCTCAGTGGTGAAGGATATGGGCTGAAGTCAGACAGAGCTGAAGTTCAAACCATGCCTCTTCCACTTGTAGCAAATTGACTGTGAGCTTTGTTTCCTCATTTGTGACACATGTGTCCCCCAAAGAGAGCTTCTGTGGGGAGTCCTTGAGATCATGAGCATGAAGTGACCAGTACAGAGCTAGCTTTGGACAGTCATTTAGACAAGTCATTCCAGATTCCTGGCCTCAGCTTCCCCATCTCTGAAATAGGAGAGGGAATGAATTAGATGACATCAGAATTCCTTGGCCTCTCTGCTTTACTCCAAGCTAAGTTCTTCCCAGGGGCTGAGGGCAGGCAGCAGGGCCTTCTCTGCCCTGGCCTTTCTTTGTCCAGAAAGGCAGCTGCTGAGCATTGACACATATGCTTACTTATATTCCTCCCAACAAGGCCATGAGCTAGATATCATCATCTCATTTCACAGATAGAGGAAACAAAGCTAGGGATGCGAGTGAAGGATGGAGTTGGGATCTGGACCCAGGTGAAGTAGATTCAACCCCACCCATTCTCTTGGCAATGATGAGGATGGAAAAATGGCTGAGGCCAAGGGAGAAGGGTGGCTGAGCTCCCAAGCAGAAAGCCCTTGGCCACCAGGGCAGATGCTGGAGGAAGCTGGAGGAAGACGTATTGCTCAGGATGTCTCATACTTCTTGGTGGGCTCTGGGCCAGCTAGGTGCAGGCCGTGGAGTCAGGAAGTGATTGCTCTTGGCTGTGGCCAGCACAGAGCCCAGGGTAGAGGAAGTGGTCGGCCCAGGCCAGGTTTGAGCTGACTGAAAGCCGGAGCAGTGCGGGCCCTGCAAACACTGGGGTCGGGGCAAAGGCTGGAAGAGGCAGCAGGAGGCTGCACACTGAGTTGGCTGGGAGAGGAGAGAGGATTGCAGCAGCTCTGGGTGGCAGGGCCTCAGCTGAGAGGACTGAGCTCACCTCAAGTGACCCCAAAACTCACAGCAGAGGATGAACATCCTCTTCTCCTTCTGCCAGCCCCTCACCTCCCATTTCTCCTCCCACATCCTGGGTTTCTTGCCTCAGACTCATCCTCTCTCTCTCTCTCTCTCCTCTGTTCCCCCCATTCCTCCTGAGACAGCTGGGAGAGGACAGTGATGGGGGTTGGGCTCTCAGTTTGGCACAGTGAAGAGAACAGTGATCTTGTCTCAGAGACAGGGTGTTATAGATAGAGTAGGTGCACCATAAATGTTGATGAACAATCAGAGGCTTCAGAGTGAACTCTGGGAGCACCGTTCGGGTCGGGGAGGGGAGGAGAGCTGTCTGGGCTTGGGAGGTAGAGAGAGAGGCCAGGGGAAGGAGAGCTAATAGTGGGCTTTGTACCTCTCCTCACTCCCACTTTCCCCTCATCATTTGGGGACCACAGAACCACTGCCACCCCACAGGTCCTCTTGGAGGAGCCCCCTGACCCTGACCCCATCTGTGCTCCCAACTCAGAGAAGCCAGGGTGCAAGGCCCTCCTTGGTGAAGCCTGACCTCTTTGGGCCTCATCTGCGAAATGGGGCAACAGGCAGATAGGTGAGTCTCAGAAGCATCTCACTCTTATCCTCTCACTGGGAAATGAAGTGTGAGAGTGATAGACATTTATTGAGTACCTACTGTGTGCCAGGAGCCTTGCCAAGTGGTTTACAGGCATTGCCCCATCAATTGTTAAAACACTCCATGCAGAACATGAGAAATGTCATCAATGTCCCTGAGCTGTAAGTGTGAAAGTTGTTGTGTTGGTAAATGTCTTGGTGTGTATATTTTTACCACAATAAAAGTAAATTAAAAAAAAAAAAAAAAAAGCAACCATGCAGCATGGTCCATTGCTATTCCCATCTCATGAATAGGGCCTCACTCAGAGAGCCTGTCATAGATTTGTAGTGTGTGCCTCAGGAGGATGGAGGTTGAGGGAGACAGCATGAGCACATGTGTTTAAATGAGACAGCACTGGAAGGAGATGAAAAGAGAGATGGCGGGGTGACTACTTGGGAAATTGCCTGATAGAGGAGAAAGAGCACTGGACCAGGAGCATTAGGAATAAAATCAGGAGCGTCCTTGAATGCTGGGCTAGGAATACTCAGTGTCGCTGGTTAAGATCTAACCCTGAAGTACCTGAGTGGGGCCTGGGAAGGGTAGAGGGTGAGTAGAAAGTTTGGGAGGGAGCCCCATCCTCTCCAGCCAAGCCAGTCACCTTCCTTCCTCCCCCTACCAGCTTGACACATTCCCACCTCCTCCAGCCCTTGCTCACACAGTCCCCTTCCCCCAGGGATACACCCTTGACAAACAAGGAAACAGGAAACAGGACCAGAGAAATGGCATGACCTACTCTCCTGCCCCAGCTCCAAGAGTGAAGGAGCCTGGCAGCAGGAGGCTGGGCTCGCTCGCCAGTAAGGAAGGAGAGAATCGAAGATTTTTATAACTTGGGATAATTAATTGGTTGCTGTCTGTGACTCATTACTGTAATACTGCCAATTAAGGACTTGTACGACAGAAGATTGTTCTTAGGCGGTCCCATAGGCCCCTGAAGACAATGTGTCTGTGGGAGGCAGCATAGTGTCAAAACCAGCTTCTCTGTGGCAAGAGGGATATAGGTCAGATACCTGGAGGAACTTTCCAGCCAGAAACACTGAAGGAGACAGAATGACAGTAGTCAGTGTTTTGCCTTTTGATGACTCTATTAAGCTTATCTGATCCCCTCCAGGAAGAGTAAGTGATTTACTCAAGCTGATAAGCAAGGCCCTTTGCTTGCAACCACATCCTGTACAGTCTCCCCAATTCCACACAATCTTGTCTGGGATTCAGTGGTTATTTATTCAATCAACAGAACTGTCCTGAGACCTGCTCTGGTCCTGGCTCTGCACTGTACCCTGGAAGACAGTGGATCAGACCTAGTTTCCCCTCCCTTGGAGAGCTCCCAAGCTGGTGAGGGAGCAGGAGGAGCCGACACACCCAGACCACCCAGAGGGATCACTGCAGAGGGAGACACCACAGGGGCAGGGAAAGTCTGGAGGCTGAGCCCATGCCCTGCTCCCTGCTTAAACTGGCATCTGAGAATGAACCCATCATGCCAGAGTGGGGAAGCGCTCAAGGCAGAGGGAACTGCATGTATAAGTGTGTCTTGTGTTTGGGAACTGAAAGTAATTCAGTTGCAATATGGCTTGTGTGTGAGGAGGGAGGAGGGTGTTGCCAAGTGGGCCCCTTAGCCTCAAAGCTGAGCTGAGGAGCTTGGACTTCTTGGCAGTGGGGACCTCGAGTCGGACTTGGGCTGTGGAAGGGCCACTCTGGTTAGCACGTGGACAGTAAAGGTGGGGAGGGCAGGGAGTGCAGAAGGAAAGCCTCCACCTGGCTCCCGGCGAGCAGCCACAGGGAAGTAGAATAGGGAAGGGATTCTAGAGACACTGAGAGAGTGTAGTCAACAGACTCCATGGGCAAGAAGGGGATGAGAAGGAGGGTGGTCTAAGTGGAGTCCAGGAAGAACACAGTGGAGTGTGTAATATAGACAAAATCAATTTGCCCAGCCCCATTTGCCTGCCTCCAGTGATGGAGAACTCCCTCCTTCCATTCAGGAAGACACCAGCTACAAGGAAATCCCCCTGCTCTTCTTCCCAGCCTTCCCCCCATGACCTCTACTCTGCCCCATTGAGCTTCTTCCCTTCCTAGAATGTGCCTCACCTCTTCACAGCTCCACCTTTGCTTAGGTGTCCTCTCTGCCTGGACTGTCCTTTCTGTTGATCTCTGCTTCTCAAGACTCTTTGCAAATGTCTCTTCCTCTAAGAAGTCTCCCTCCCCCTTTCCTTTTTTTTCCTTACCTTCCTGCCCCCATCAGATCCCACAGCACCTTGGGCCTGTGCCAACCATGTGGATTGTGCTTCTCTGTGTCTCCCACTGGACGCTGGGTGCTTTAAGGGC